TTGATTGTCCCCGTCCCAGGATGAGGAAATGCGATAGGATATTTTAATATCCTGTTTGATAAAGTCTGGCCTGGCCCCTCCGTGTCACCACGGCCACCAACGTGCTCTTAACTCAGCCTGAGCATAATTGAATGGAAGATTAAGGCCTTCACAGGCTTTCCGAAATTAAAGGGATAATAATGAGGAGGTTAAACCCCATATTTAGGATTTGTAGAATAATGCCTCACAAAGCCTATTATTCACAGAAACATTTGTGTAATTGAAAAATCCCTTTTTGGTTCAATTTTAACCTTCCCCTCTCACGTTTGTAGCCGGGAGCCGAGGCACAGGAGTCACACCAAGCTGCTCTCCGTGGGACACAAGCGGGCGGTGGAAGGGGTTGAGCTGAATTTCTCACCCAAAAATCCCAGTCTAAAGCAGGATGGAGCCAGTGGCACATCCCCACTTAGGGCCTGGTTTGAATCTGAGCACGTGGGGGTGAGCTGGGGACGGTGACCAAAACTTGAAAGGAGAAACTTCCCCCGAGGGCTGACCACGTCAGAGGCTCTCTGAGGGCAGCAGCACACAAACACCAAAAACCTGAAAAAATCGCTGTGTTAGGAGCAAATTGAAGCACAGACACAGATCCAGCTCTGTGCAGCAGCTCACTGTAAATATCTGTGCTTACTGGAAGCACATACACAGATCCAGGAGGGTTTTAAGCCAAGCTCTAGTGTTTCCCTAAATCATGGATGAGCTCTGCTCCCATCCAGCAGCCCGCATTGCACTGGAGGGCTTCCTGCTTCCCAATACCTGATAAGTTAAGGCAGACACCTTTGCCATTAATTATTGAGGAAGCCACCAGCAGGTATCGGACACAGCTGGGATTCACATCCCTATTTCTGTATCTTGCATCATCACCGGCTAAATATAATCACACCGTGCTCAGGCACTTCTGCACTTGCACAGCTCTGCTGCTCCTTCCCACTGGTTCCTCTGCAGGAATTCCACAGGGCACTCACTGGCCATGATCCCCATGGGGACAGATCCACAGAGTTCCTGCTGCCACATCCTCCCCTGCCACAGCTGCTCCTCTCGGGGCTCACGGAGTGTCCCCCTGATCCTCTGGTTGTTGTTGCAAGGGGTGTCAACCCAGGGCAGTGCTGCCTTACCCAGCTGAGCTTTCCCACTGAATCCCAGCACTGATGTGGATGTTTGCCCCTTCCCTGGCTGCCTGCACTGTCCCAGGTGGGTGTTACCTGGGGAGAACAGCAGAATGTGTTTCTTCAAGTGTCACCACTCAGTTTGGAGAGTGAAGGGCCGGGACAGCAGCCTGGGAGAGAGGAATCAGCAATTCAAGGTCTCCATCGTGGCTGTGCCACCCAAGCCAGCCTGAAAGTCAACATTTGAGTTTAAAATATCCTTGTTGTGGTAAAAGACTACAAGTGTCACCTCCCTCAGGAAGGCAGAGCTCAAAATCTCCTCTCCACACCCACCTCCCTGGGTGGGATACCAGGCTCTCCTCCTGCAGGAGAAGCCTAGGGGCAGGTGGGTGCTGGGGGCCAGACAAGAAGAGTCAAACCTATTTATTAATTTCTGAGTGCTGAGTGTGGCAGAGCAGCGATTTTTTTTTAGGAAATCTTGTTTTCTCTCTCTCTCGTGGTGAGCAGCACATGCCTGACCTCCTCACCCCTCCCTGCCCGGCTCATCACCACCCATCCATCTCCCGGTAATTGTCCTCGCTCCTCCCGAGCCGCCGGCCCCCGCACGGGCTCCTCTCTCAAGGTTATTTTCGGCTCTGCAGCGTCACCGGAACACACACGAGTTTGCAGCTCCAGTTTTGCAGCAGTGGGGCTGCACCTCTCCCCTGCTCCCCACATCCAGCATCGTCCCCTTAATCCAGGACACACGAACAAATCCTCACCACTCTCCCTCACCCTTCCTCCCAGATCACAATTAAATAAATGCAGCTTTTCAGGGAAACTTCTGAGTTGTTTTGTACTGCTGATGTGTTTTCCCAGATGACAGGGGGGGTGTTTTTTTGGAGCAATCTTTACCACGAACATGGAGCCCTGGAGGTAAATCCAGTGACAAGCTTTGCTGTGAGGGTGGGTGCTCGTTTGCTCCCCGCTTTAATTATTGAAGTCAGCAAAGTTGTGCTGTCCCCCAGCCACGGACACCCACGTTCCCGAGGCTTTACTCGTTCACTGTCTCTTCATGTTTACAGCAAAGTGCATTTATAGCAAATTAACATCTCTGGGGGTGGTTAAAAGGTGATCACTAATGGAAATCTGAGCTCCTTCCACCCTGTCAAACCCAGCCGCGTTTGCCTCCTAATAAATTGGCATCTCTGCTGAGAAGGCCCATGTCTAACTGCCTGTGTGATAAAAAGACCAATTGCTGACATTTTCCGCTGTTTTCCCTTCCTTTGACATTTCATTAAGGAGAAAATAACACCAGCAACTACAAATGTGCTCTCATTGACATTTGTTGGCCGTAACGTGGCAAGTTGCCCTGATTAAGTGAGTAGTTGAGGAGCGGGACATTCCCTGTCTCCAGGATCAGAGTGTCCTCCCATGGACCTGCAGAGTCTCAGAAGACCCTGAGCCGCTCCCCTCATCATCTCCCCAGCTCAGGAATCACCTCAGCTCGCCCCACTGCCAGGAGGCTGAGCTGAAACCAACCCAGACCTCAGCCCCTGTCAGTAAATCTAATTTATAGGCGTGCTTAGGACTTCAATTACCACAGTCGTTAACAATTTGTTAATGAGTCAATTAACATGCTTTGGGATCTATGCAGAAAGGGCATTATAAATATGATAACGTCAAATATTGCAGAAATAAGTATCTGACTGTACCAGGACTGGGCCAGGAGCTGCTGCTGGTTGCAGGGTGTGTGTTCCCTGCTCGGTCACAGTGGTTGTAGTGTCACCTGTGCAAGGGGCTCTCTGGAGATGGGACCAGCTCCAGCATCACTCTGATGCCAGGATGCCCAGGTGGGAAACCAAGTTTGACACGAAACACTCATTTTACCAGCAGCCCAGTGGGTGCTGTGAACCCCAGTGTGGGGCTGTGCTTCTGTCCTCGAGTCTTTCCCACATAATAGGAAGGGGTTTGAGCACCCTGAAGAAGGCTGGAGCTGTATCCAGGCCTGAACCAGGAGTGTCCTCTCTTGGATATTCAGTCACTCTCTCCCAGATCCCTGCTCCTGTGGATCTGGATCCTCACCCTGCTCCATACAAACCCCAAGCCCAGCTGCTCCCTCCTGTACAGCCCCCCACACACAGAGGGGCAGCAGGTGGGCCCACCCCAGTGATGCCAAATGATCACACTGATTACCATCCCCGGTGCTAAAATGATCCTCCCCTGCTCCCCCAAAACACCACGGCCTGAATTTTCTATTTTTTGTGACCTCTCTTGTACCACACTCGTGTTTCTCTCCCACCCCACAGCCCAGCTGCTTTTGCCTGGATCAGGGACACAGCCTGGCTGTGCAGGCTGAGCTGATGGAAAACAGGCCCAGGGCAACGAGCAGGAGCAACTTAATTACAATCAAAGCCTGTCAGCCTGGTCAGTGTGTCCCATCAGCTGCAGGGACAGGGCAGGACTGAGCTGAATGTGCAGCAGGGAAACTGGAGCTGGGGTGGCCAGCACAGCACCATCCTGCTCCCAGGGATGCTCAGTGCCAGACACTACAGAGGATGGGGCAGATCATCTCCTAATCCTTAGCAATTAAAGCCTGGCTTAAACTTGAAAGCCTAAGATTTAACGTCTCTTAAAAATTTCTTATATTAATTAGCCCGGATCTGCAAATTCTTGGGTACCAAGAAGTAAATCTCCCTCTTTTTTTTGGAGATCTACACACTTTTTGGTCTCAACGATGTCCTGCAGAGAAAATCCCACAGCACAGCTGCTCTCTGTGGCCAGCACCAGTCTTCAAAAATCTGATGCCAAAGGAGCTCTCGTGTTTTGCCCTGGCAGCAAATTGTAAACGAGGCAGGAGCTCATGAGAAAAACAACCTCCCTCCCTGCTCTGCTGCTGGTGGAGGCAGGAGGTGCCTTGTACACCCTGTCACTGAGCCACAGCCCCTTCCTCGGGGGGAAGAAAGGCTCTTGTGACCAGAGGAAACTGAGCTGAGGAGCTGAGTGTGAGGGGAGGGATGAGGGATGGAAAATCCACATCAGCACTGCTGCCATCCAGGGAAATTAGAAGCTGTGCTTGTTCCCAGTGTGTGTTTGTGGTTTGTTTCCCTGCAGACTCGCTTTCCCTCCCTCTGCAAACACACGTCTGCACACCCAGCACGCTGTTCCCCGCTCCCTGGGCTGAGCCTTGGGATGCTGGGAAGCAATCCTGACCCAGCAGGCAGAGGCTGGGGGAGCAGAGATCCTGGGCATCCCTTCCAGCTCCACCTCACCTGTGGCTGGGAGCAGTCTCAGGAGAGGCTGGAGCGGTCCCTTCCCATCCAGGCGGGCTCATCTCCAGGCTCCCACACTGCACACCCTCCCAGGGGACACCAGCCCCTGGGAGCTCCCCCAGCATTTGGCAGATGGCAGCTGAAGTGCCAAGGGATTGAGCACAGCCCCAGTGGGGGCAACTGGGGCTGGACAGGGGCCCTGGTGCCCACCCCAGCCCGGCTGGGCACAGCAGGATGTGTCGGCGTTTGGGATAAGCCCCAGTCACCAGCACATGGGGTAGGAGGGGCTGCCCAGCACCACACCCCCCCCAACTGCAGCCCCTCTGACCTCCCAGGTGTTGAGCTGCTGCACAGATCAGAGCTGGCATCGGGCACTCAGAGGCTTTGGCTCAAAGGCACCCAGTGGCTGCAGTGGCTGTGGCACCACACGAGGGTTTGGCTCGTTATTTTGCTGCCTGGGAGTTGGAGGTCTGGTTGGAGCTAATTATCCGCTCCTCTTCTGCAGTGAAGGAGAAAGTGTCGTCTCCAGAGGGTGAGCCACACCTTGGATGGGAGTAGCACTCCTCAGAGGGGTCTCTGCCTTCTCCTGTGGACTTTGCACATCACATTTTCCTTCCTGCCCAAAGCGAGGAGGGGCACCCCAGGAGCCTCCCACCACCTCCTCACCCGTTCTGTTTCTCACACTTGGTTTGGCCACAGTGATTTGCCAAATGAGCAGCTAATTCATGAATAGTTTAGTGCCCCAGGAAGTGCTGTGTTTCGTGGTGAATTTATTATTCACCAAAAAGATGGAGAGGAAGACTTATTCCTCGTGCGACTTCTCCAGTGGCTTCACCAGCTCCAAAGCTTTTAGGAGGCTAAACCACGGGGTACAAACTCTCCTGGCATACACCAAGGATGTAGCTGAGAGTGAAAGTTACCTTGTCTTGACTGGAATTAATTTTCCAATTAATTGGAAAACCGAAGGGTACTCTTCGAGGAGTTTAGTCATTTATTTGGGTTAATTCTGCTTTTTATCACAAGGAATTCAACCCTCCTCTAAGGCTTGTGTTAAACTGGATTAGCTTTACTGACGGTGCTGGAGCTTCCAGATTGACACCAGCATAACTTGTTATATAATGCAGCCAAGATAAAAATACAGCAGGTTAAAATATCAACTGTTAGAGGAAATAACTGGAGCACCCACACATTTAATGCATTCTGAAGAAATGGGGAGAGAAATCACAGTCCTGTAACGCTCAGTGCTCTGGGCATCTTTTATCAGAGGGTATCAAGGCACGTCCCAAATCATTCCTTATTTAAGCCTTGTCACATGCTGGTCACAGAGAGGACAATCCAGGAGCAGGGCACGAACCCAGGAAGCATCAGCAGAGACGAGGAAATACTTGAACCAAAGAGGTTTCCAAAGGGAAAAGCAGTTTCGGCGTGATGGAAACTTTTTGCTGGAGCACGTTGGTGTGGAGAAAGTTTTCGGCAGAACAATTTCAAAGCAGTTCAACATCAAAATTGGGACCTTGTGGGAGAGGGGCTGGGGGGTTTATTTCAGTGCAAGTTTTGCTGTGTCACGTGTACGCCCCTTGTAAATAGCTGGGGCTGACCTTTGCTGAATGTTTCT